GTGGCTGGTGCCTTAGCCGGTTGAACTATAGGCGCCGAGCCTGTTATTATTTTTTTATAAATACCAGAAATATATTTCTCACAGTTCTGGGGACTGGAAATCTAAGATGAGGGTATTAGAACAGTTGAGTTCTGGTGAGGGGCCTTGGCTGGGTTACAAACAGTCACCTTCTCACTGTGTCCTCACATAGCAGAAATAATTAAATTCATTTTCAGATAAACCATGAATAATTTTTATTTTATATATATTTATTATTATTATTTTGAGAGAGTCTTACTTTCGTCACTCTGGTAGAGTGCCATGGTGTCAAATAGCAGCCTCAAACTCTTGGGCTTAAGCGATTTTCTTGTCTAAGCCTTCCAAGTAGCTGGGACTACAGGCACCTGCCATAACACCCAGCTAGTTTTTTCTATTTTCAGTAGAAATGGGGTCTCACTCTTGCTCAGGCTGGTTTCCAATTCCTAGCAATTCCTAGGTGAGTTCTAGCAATCCACCTGCCTTGGTCTCCCAGAGTTCTAGGATTATAGGCGTGAAGGACCGTGCCTAGCCTCCCATGAGTAATTCTTAGTATATTTGAGATATACTTTCATTAGAAATTATTTGTTTGTCTGAAATTTGAAGTTAACTGAGCATCCTGCATTTATTGGTAACCCTAGGCCAAACCCACAGTCTTAGCTTCTAATCTCACGTAGTGAATCATTTTTCCAGGCCCTGTAATTGTAGAGAGCAGCAAAGCTGGGATTCAAACCTGGGTCTGCCCGACTCCAGATCTGAAACTCTTTCCTTTCACAACAGCACATACACTCCTCTGCCCCAATGACTCGTTCTTGAGCCCACGTCTTGCGTATCTTGAGGAGACCTAGTAGGACCCAGGTCAGGCCATAGTAAGGGCTCGGAAGTGCCCAAAATGTGTTTCCTTCACCAGAAAATATGGAGCCACTATGTGCCAGGCATCATTCTAGGCTATGGGGACGTAGCAGTGAAGAAAAGAGATTAATTAAATAATCCTTCCTTGGTGAGATTACCTTCTTGTCAGGAGACAGACAATGAACAAACAAATGAGTAATATACATAAGTAAGTCAGCTGATGATAAGTACTTAAAAAATAAGTAGAATGGCCGGGCACAATGGCTGATGCCTGTAATCCCAGCACTCTGGGAGGCAGAGATGGGTGGATTGCTGAGACCAGCTTGAGCAAGAGGGAGACTCAAACCCCCCCCACCTCCATCTCTACAAAAAATAGAAAAGACTAGCTGGGCTTTGTGGTGGGTGTCTGTAGTCCTCAGGAGGCTGAGGCCAGGACTTTGAGGAGTTTGAGGTTGCTGTGAGCTATGCTGACACCACGGCACTCTACCATGAAGTTGAAGCTGAACCTATGCCTACCCTATGATTCAGCAATTCCACTCCCAGGTGTGAGCCTAACAAATAGCAGAGTAGCAGCAACAGACTCACCAGCATGTTCATAGCAGCACGATGCGTAATAGCTGGCAATGAGCCAAATAAATGTCCATCAAAACAATTAATTGTAGACAAATAATTGTAGCATATTCATACTATGGAAATTATACAGCAGTGAGAATGAATGGGAGAGCTAATGCTACGAGCAACCACGTGGGTGACCCTTGTCCACATAATGTTAACTGAAAGGAACAAGATACAAAGGATGACACGGTACACGTGTTTGTTGATATAAAGCTGAAAAGCAAGGAGATCTATCCAGGGGCTTAGGAATCAGAATGCTGTGGTTATCTGGAGTTGAGGAGGGGATGGTGCCTGAGAGAAGCACATGACAGGGGTTCCCACCTTGACCTGGGCCCTGGCTACATGGCTGTGTTCACTCTGTGAAAATTTATCAAGCTGGTTACTTATGATGTGGGTATTTGCTACATGTACGTTTAACAAAAACTTTTTAAAAATAGGGTGATGATACCTCCCTGGAATGTTCTCGTCTTGCAGGAGCCAGAGATAAGGAAGAGACGAACAAGAAGGAGCTGTATGAGAGCAACAAGCGCTTCCTGGGACCCTACAACCCAGTCAGCCCCTGCCAGAACATCCTGCGTGTGATCGCGGTGACTGCTGCCCCTCAGCCCGGGGCCTCCAGGGGCCAGGGAGGGGACAAGGGGCAGTGCACTGCCCCCCAAAGCCTTCCCCTCCCAGCTTTCCTGGCTGGCCCAAGGCCCCTTTACAGGAACCTTCTCTGGCCACACAGCCTATCCTGAGTACCTCCTTACCCTCATGTGTGCCACAGCGCTGGGCCACGACTTCCTTCCCCCTGACCTGCATGTCACCCAGTTCCAGGTGTAAGGATGTGCCCATGTGCCCCCTCCCCGCCAGCCTCTGGGTGTGGAAATCAGGCAGTGTTTGTGCCTTTGTGTGAGGCCCCTATGGTTCCTGGCTGAGGTCAGTGTTGCAATCTCTGCCTCTTTGTTTCAGGAGTTTGGAGACTTCCTGGG